GTAATGATGCGCTTCCGCGAGAACCTAAAAGAGTCCATCGACAATAATGGCCGTCATTTAAAAGACATAATTTAAAAAAAAAAACGTTTCTAAATGGCATAAAATGTACATTTCATAAATAATTAAAAAATGTTTGCTTTATGTAGTTTGGTTTTTATTAACATCCCAAATAGTACCTATCATTTTGCCGCACCCTGTATGATTAGATAGCGTATTTTTATTTTTATGTCTAAAAACTGTAAATGTAATGTTGTAATTTTTTTCGTTGTTTGACTATTCTTTTCTTCATTTTCAGTAAAAATATATGTAAAAAATAAAGACCACAAAAATACATAGATGGTAGAAAAAAGCATATATTTGACATATTTTTTGGAAAAACCAGACATATTTATGCACATATTTTAAGCATTTTCTATTACTATTGGTGTACCTCTGATCAACAAGTTTGATCTTCATAAGCTGGCTTCTAAGAGAATGTTCCAACTGAAGGTGGTATTTATGGTTTACCTTTCCCTTTGATCTCTTCGCCAAGACCTTTGATATAGAGGATTAAGGTTAGGATGGTTAACTTTTCGTGCGCTGTCGACACCTCTTACCCGGTCCCTGCTTGTTTCCAGTACTCTGTTTGCAAACTTAGATCGTTATGGAGGTTGACCTTGATACACCAAATTGTTCACTGTAGGTTATATTCTGAACTGCACTACATTACATTACTATGTCTGTCATGGTGGTTAGACGAGAAACTGAGCTCCTGTCCGATTATATTTGAGTGTATTCTATTGCAGAGTTCGTCGCTAGCAGAGGCGATATACCACAGCCCCTGGTACAAGCACGGCGTAACAGAAAAAAAAATTGCACTCACCATGATGATTAGAGCTCAAAGACCTCTGGCCTTAACTGTAGGACCATTTGATGCCATGACTACCCAATCCGGCTTAGCAGTAAGTTAGATGATGCTTGTAATATAATGAAGCTTGTGTAGGGACATCCAATCGCACTTTAGATTGGACTTCTTTTACTCTTCTCATGGGAAGACCATTTAATGATCCGCTGCCTAATATCGCAGAATGCTTTTAAAGCTCTTACAAAAAAATATTATCTAACGCGATTATTTCTGATATTTTTAGCATTGTGACAATCAGCTAAATCCAACTGGCTATTTACTTAATAGCAAAGTATGATAATCATTAAACAATTGCGAGCACAGGGTGTTTTGGTACTTCGTGAGGTATCTACTTACGTAGAATGACCATCTGTTATTGTTATTGATATTACAAATTTTACTTTGTCAATTTTTGTACTTCTTAATCTGGGTTATGGTATTTCTACCGGGAAACTAGATGATTATCTAAAGATACGACCTACAATAATTTTCCTAGATCCGCATTACTAACCTAAAGTCTTATTATCATCGTCATCGTCATCCTTAACTTAAATAAAAACGAAGGTAAATTTTGTATTGTAGAACGTATTATACAGAATGCTCAGTTATCCATAGACATGAACCAACTTTTCAAAATTAGATGTAACCCCCAGGAAATTATTATTTGGGTCAATTTTATACTCCTGGTTTAGGATTTAATAGACATTTGATTCCTATTCTTCCTTTAAAACTACTACCACAACAAATTACATCAGTTATCATATTTGTTATTTCCAATAAGAATGTATCGTGTTCGCTTAAAAAAATTAATATCTCTTCTCCTCATTGTAATAACAATATCGTTAATATGACAGCATGCAGAGAAATTGGTTTTTATTTTTTAGTGAAAACCGCGGGGCGGACTTAAAAAAATGAAGAGATCGAATCTGCTCAAAAAAGAATGCAAATATCATTATTTTTTTAGGAGTTCAGTGGCGTGCCACTGACTGTCTATGAACAGATAATATTTTGTTAGTATAAAGTATCTGTCTAAAACAAAATATCTAGATTTTAGTTACCTAGTGTCCTTCCGAGAAGAGTTTTTTTTTACTTAAGACAAGATAAATAATAATCGATTCTTATTTTAAAAAAAACACTACCTGCTATTAATAATTGTTAGTACAATTGTCTGTTAATACATTAATAACAACCTTTTTGAAAAAAAGTAGAATATAGAAACTAAAATTTTTTGAATAATGTTCACAATTGTTGTTTCCGTTCCCCTTGGAGGATGATGGATTCGTCCAGTCCCTTTTAATTAAGGCACCTTTCCAGGATTTTTGATTAATGTTCAACATTGTTGTAAGTGGCCCAATGATTTTAGCGGTCGTGGCCAATAGAAGTAAAGAAGAGGAAGAAACAAAAATAAGTTGTCGAAAGTGTCTTCCATTGGTCGAATGATCACACTTGTTGTGCCCCACTCTATTAGTGAAACGCGTCGTTGAATCGAATTGAAGTGTCCTCCATTATGGGCGAATGATCCTGGTAGTCGTACCCAACAGTTTTTTGTGAAACGCATCATTGAATTGAAGTGTCCTCCATCTTGAAAGATACGCGCTTCAGCTTTTTTCCTTATATTGGCGTGCACTCTTTGAGAAATTCAGTAAAAACAGTGAGACGGGCTAAAAAAATAAGGGATCAAATCTGCTCATAAATGAATTCAAATGCCTTTTTTTAAGGAAATCAGTTGCATGGCGTGACTGTCTATGAATAAATAAAAATTTGGTTAATTGGAATTAGAAGAAATTAACATTTTAGCGCTTATATTTCAGATTATGAAGGCGTCCTACTCGTATGTCACTTTGATGAGGAATCAGTCATAATTTACATCTGCTCCCAGTTTGGATCTTACGCGTTCTTAGTCAACTTTATCTTCGAATTCATTATAAGCGCTTAATAGTTAATTAAATGAAGTATTACAACGGAAATTTGGATATGGAAAAATTATAACTCGCAATGGCATAACCCATAACTAAATATAGTTTGTAATGGAATTTTTGTGTTTTGATTGACATCGATTTCTCGAAAAGCCGTTAATATGAAAGTAATATACAAAAATCATGAGCAAATAATAAATTTTTAAATTTATTAATGTAAATAGAATTTCCCAAACTCCATCAGTTGGATGGTATCAACTTATCAGGTGCTTGGCGATAAAATTTCCATCGAACTTTTTAATGAGAATTTCAATTTTGACTTTTTCATCGGCTTGAAATATTAGCCTCAGCAACACTGGTGGTCATCACGGCAGCCTAACATTGTGGGATAACATTGAAAATGCTAGTTTAAAATAAGCTAAAAAATCTTTCACTCCTTCTTGTAAACTAGCAGCTTTCATATTCCTGAACTTCCCTTTTTTGAATCACTATATTCTTCAAAGAAACTTCCACAGGCTACTGTAATACTTTTTATAAAACTTCTGTATTTATCCTGCGTTGGATTTTGTTGAGTCAATTTCAGCCAAGCTCTGAAGAAACCAACAGCATGATTGGCGAGACGTTAGCTGATTCGAGTCAACAAAAACCGACGCAGGAGGTATCCAGAAGTTCTATAAAAATCACTCTGTATTTATGTCTGGAATGAATACGTCGCATTAATTATTAAAGCCAGAGAAAATGTTTAAGTTCAAAAAGAGTTAAGCTTAGCTTTCTATAAAATAGACGTTCCGACTATAATTATGTGTGACTGAATTTACCAAAATTTGGAATGACAAAACTTAATTATTTGCGATCCAATTCTATCAACATTATTTGCAGAAGTCCTCAATTCCAGCATTTTATTTTATATAGAGTATTTCATTAAAACCGAACGACTTATTATGTATTCTGACCAATATGCAGGTCAGAATGTTAACAATAAGCTATCGTTTTGAGTAATTCTATTATATTGTATTGTGGAAGAAATAGATTTCAAATTACAAAAGAAAAATACATTCCAGCCTCATGTTAATAACAGAAAAGTGAATGTATCCAAAAAGAAAAGTGGAGTGATTGAAAGTCCAATGATTGAGGTTTAGGAAAGCCTTTCCTAATACCATCAAACAAATATTCTTTTTGAATATTCAAAGACTTAATAGCATTTATGTTCCTCTAAATGTAAGAGTTATTATGATGAACTCAACTATTTTAAATGCAAGGCGGACCAACCCACATCTGAGATTTATGAATCTTAAATATGGCTCTTAAAAATTATTCACAAGCAATCCGGTGGATTTGTATTGATTTATTACATAGTGTACAGTTGAATGTGTTTTTTTTAATTATTCTACCCATATCTCTAAAGGATTTTTTCTCTTTCTATAAATCTACTACGATTTTTCGAAGCGCAATTGGAATTTCGTAATTTTTAGCGCTCATTTTGCTTTCACTTCAAAACCACTGACTTAAAAGTGGCGTTGTTTGTTTAAGCGAAATTTGATATAAGCTGACTTGCTTAAATATTGATAATTAAGGATTCTACCTGCAGTTCTAAATAGTGATTGATTAAAGTGTATAGAGACTTATTTGACATAGTTTAATGCTTCTAAAACTGCATTATTTTTTATCGTTCACATAAAGGGTCTCAAAAGGTTTTCATTTTATTTCTATTACTCTTAATAAGATAAAAAAAAAATAAATGAAAGTGAAAGAAGAAACTAAAAGAAAACTGAAAAAATACTATGTGTACTGAGACATTTTTGACCGACTGTACATGACAGCCTTATACGACCAGTAACAAAAATTTGATTAATTAAAGTTATAACTATTTCTACAACAATAACTGGCTACATATTTAATTTTATCATTCGGTGATGTTTGTACTTCTTTAATTATTTTTGGCGATATTTGACCTATAATTGAAACTAATTGCTCAGAAACGTTTATAACATAGTTTCAATTTCCTTTAATCCCCAAAAGCCGTAAAGGTCCTTTCACCCTTTGATTCACAGGCACCATTTAATGCGAGTTTAACAATCAGCTAAGATGTGATCATTAAGGGGTAAATAGGTAAATCCCGGTAATATTAATGTTCTATAATTGTACTGTACGCGTATATATCGGAAATTTACTAGTCCCGATTTGGTTAATTTTGTGCGACGATGGATAAGTCGCCTGACGATTTAAGAAGGACTAAGAAAACCCAGTCCGCGTACTATCTGCTATTTTTCAATGGGGCGTTTGATGGATACGATTTCGAGATTTGCCAGGAGAACGAGTTTGAGTCCGTCCCTGGCTTAAGTGAGAACATCGTGAAATATAGAATTGGAGGCATTTCGGCGGAAGCTCAAATCGTGTTTCAGTCAGGTAAGGGATACTATTTTGAGCAGAATTTAGTCTCAGACAACAGCAACTTTAATTAAAAAAACGAACGAAATTCAATGAAAAATTTTAAACTTTTAATTTTATAGAAATCAAAACAGGGTTTTTTGACTGATCACTATGGCAACGGATTAATTTTAATGGACATTTTTGACAGTCTGGTTTTCAATTGTTTACATGATAATTTTGATACATTTCAGTTACAAAGCTAGGATGTCTTCTATATTCTTTAGACACCTACCTTCTTGTAGTTTGCGATGCTTAGGAGTTTTCGCAGCTCTTTCATTCGCAAATTTTATGTCAGAGAATTGCTATCATACATTTCAAAAAAATATTCTTTCAACTGCGTGGCTGTGAAGTTTGATAAAACTGTGAAAACGCTGTCCTTGTAGTCTTCGTAGGTCTTTTTTGGCATACTGAACCCATAGTCTTCAAGAATAAGCGCCAGTTCTTCTACAGAATCGTCGAAATCATACGATCTTTGTGCGCAAAATGTTGTGGACTGCTTACGTAAGATGGACTTCGATTTCCTAGTATTCGCAAAACTGAAATAATTTTCAGGTTAGAGTTTCACTCAGTTGCCATGGTAACTAAATAAATAATAAATCGGACACACCTTCTATGTTTTGCTGGTACTTGATGAAGAGCAAAACTGGCGTTATTGGAAACCGAAAAATAAATTTATTAATTATTTGATTGATATTTGAATGAATCACAAAAGGAACGGAATGTTTTTGTGCAATTTGACGATAAATTGCAACAAAAGTTAAAAGTTACGGAATTGTGGTTTAGCACTGTCGAAGGCAGAAGCTTTAATTTTTTCTTTGCACACAATTATCTAGAATAGGGTTCCTTAAATATCTAAAGCAAGCCAATTACTTTTGCGTATTATAGAATTATGGCCGTTATACCTGTTCTATGGTAGTATTCTATAATTGATGTTGGCGATTGAATTTCGATTGCGAAAACTGTCCGGAAAGGAGAAAGATGCGGGAAATACCTGATCAATATGGTTCCCAATGTAATTTTAGTTTATTTGACATTTTCAGATGACCTAATTGAAGTCGAGCAAAAGTTATTGAAATTGAAATTTGCCTATTACCAGTTACGCCTCGCCATAAGTAAACAGGTAAGTATCAACTTACTTTAAAAAAAAGGTACTAAAATATTTATACAGGGTGTTTTCTAATTAAAGGCAAATATTTAGGTGGGTGATTTGTGATAACATTTTAAGAAGGGACCTTGATATGATCCTGTCCCGAGCGTTATAACTTTTGAGATACAGGGTGTCATATTTTCAACCATTGTTATTATAGTTATCCAAATTATACAAACACACAAATTTGGGGTAGTAATAGGGCCCTCCCTTTTTCTGTTAGTATGCCGTTTTCATTTAGAAAATTTACAAGCAAAACAGTGTGTTGAAGACGCTTAATACATTTCATATCAACATTTTATGAAGTTCTTAATTTGCACGTCTACCTTTATGGTCACACTTCCGATGAATACATTGCTTCCTGGGGTGTTCCTCAAGGCTCAACATTATGACCATTATTATTCAACATTTTCGTTAATGACATTGGTGGTTTTTTGATATATGCGGAAGATGTAATTTTTTTTTTAATTTAAATTGTCTTACTCTCCAGCGAAGTGTGAAGCATATCAACAATTGGCCTCAAAATGATAATTTGAGTGGAGCTGTGAAATATGACATGAATTTTTTTGATAAAACTCGTAATTATCCTTTGTTCCTCATGTTTATAAGGTAAAGTCTGTTCATAGATATAAGAAAGTGACTAACTGATACGAATTAAGGAAAAACCCGGGCAAGCTGGCCCAACAGGTCCGTAATTGATTAGAATTTAATTATTTGGGGTTTTGTTAGGAAAGATTTATTACTTAAAATTATTCACATAATATATCAGTATCACTATCGCCATCATCGCCTGTTCTAATTATTATTTGTTCTATATTATTTGCAATATGGATATACGATTGTTCTGTGTTTTGGATTGCTGCTTTTGTGTCACATGAGGAAGGAGTTTTAGTCAACTGTCTACTGTGATAACTGGCATTGTCCATTACAATTACGCTATTAGGAGGAATGTTTGGAAATAGTTTTTAAACCTACTTTCAAATAAATCAGCGGTGGTGTCTTCATGGTTATCCAGAGAAGAATCTTTAATATTTTTCGCAGACAGAGAAAGTCCATTTGGAATCCCACCATCTTTAGATCCAAAATCTAAAATAGTTATTCCTTTACCTACTTTTGATGGCGCTTTTTTTACACTTATCAGTTGAGTCGACCCAACCCTTTTCTGCGGTATCATAAGTGTCGAACCAGGTTTCATCCAAGTAAATAATTTGCCTTTGTTGTTCTCTAGAAATCCTAATTTTTTCTAGATATTGCAGTCACCATTTCCGAATTCTAAAAGATTCCATTTTTGTCAATTTTTTTAAATCTAAAACCCATGTGTTGAACATAGGTTCTGCCACTTTTAACACCAGTTTCATCTTTTTCAAGCCTCCTAATTAAGGTATCTAATGCAGGCACGCTTTGTTCCTCGTATTATTGGTAAATGTATGCCGTATTATATCTTGATCACTTTCATCTACACTCGAGAAAATGTCAGCATCGCTTCTTTTTTTCCTCGCTGAAATGGGATTATTCACAATTTTCCATACAGTTGATGTTGGAATTTTCGTCAATGTGGCCGTTTCTTCTAAAGATGCTTGCTTGCCGGCACCACATTCAATGAGAGTCAAATAAACATTGTTTATAACTTCCTTCGTCTCAATAGAATAGTGTTTTATACATTTGGGAGGGAGCATCTCCTGAGATACACTTGACTCGCACATATTTTGCATAATTCGCACACGATTCAACACACGCTGTATTACACACGAAATAAGAATGATTACTAATAAACTTAAACTAAGTAGTATACCAGACAGACCAAAGAATATTAAACGCAGGCAGGTATAAAATTATTTTTTATTTTTACCTGACTTTAAATTCGCAATATCGCAATTCGTAATAATCTTGTTGCATTGTATGTTAATGACCACCCTTGGATAATCTTATTCAAAAGCAATTGGTCACTTTCTTATATCTATGAACAGATCATACCAGCAGAAACCTCAAAAAGTTATGAATTTATCGTATGCACTGGAAACTTCAAAAATACAAATGTGATAAAAAATTATATAACTCACACGTCGTTAAATTTTTTTTATAAGTGAGAACGGGTATATCCCCCACAAGCTTTTCGTATACGATATTATTATACCTTTGTCTTTATTTAAAATTTTAAATAACTTGTTTGATTGCTCTGACCTATTAAATAGACCAAATTCTCTGGTTTCCCCTATTAACTCTAGACATAGTAACATTCTTTCTGTACACACCAGGAACAAATATTTGAAAATTAAAAAAAAACGTTATTGCTCCATTAACTATAATTATTAATTTCAGTCTTTTTCTATTGTCTTGACCTTTTTATTAGAGGTAGAGAGAGAGTTAGAGTTAAAGAGAGATATTAAGCTAGATTTTTAGGTTATGTTTCGGGATATCATCATTATTTCAGTTGCGCTTTTGCTTGTTAGGTAGAAATAAACACGTTTCTACTTTTTGTTTTATTAAAAATTTTCTTAACAAACGGTAAAGTTTCTTAATATTTGCTTTCATTCAAGCTTCAGGTTAATATTGCCTTCTGTAAAGATTTTGAAAATATTATATTTTTTTTACATTGAAACCGAAAAATCGATAGAAAGATTTGACGGGCTCGGTAAAATTTCTCTCATTTCTATCCAAACAAGTGTCTTTGTTTACGTGTACTGCGAATGCCAATTTTGATGTAACTGTTGTTAAATACAATTTAGTTACTTAATGTAAAACAAAATTGTTAAGCAAATAGTTAGAGTACTTGACCATTGTGTTAATTATAAAATATGTTCTCCAGATACAAAAGCAACCCAGTGGAGCGGAACGCAATCAGCTAGAGTCTACTGGTCTTAGCAGAGACGACAAACAGGAAATTAGCACAGACAAAAGTATTTCGGAGTCCCAAAGTTGGGGAAATATAACACCCCAGGTTAGTCAGTTAAGTTATAGTCTATTTCAGAAAGGCATGGTATAATAAAACCTCATTGAGTAAAGTGACTACATAGTGGTCAAAATTATTTGGTATTGATTTTTTTACAAATATTTTCCATTTTGATTCTCTCCAAGTGCTCTTTGGTACTAATCCACATTTTTCGGTTTATGTTATTGCGTCTAATTTTGTTTTTTAATTCGGGCAATAAAATTTCCATAGGGATAGTTTGCTTACTAATTGTTTTTTTGTGAGCCAACTTCAAAATGAAGGTCATGCTAAGAAACAGTTTCGATGGTAGTCTAATGTTTTTGTGTTGAAAGTAGCCAAGCGTTTGGCACCCAACCTTGCCTCGAACAGCAGTGTAAAATGGATATTTATTTTCCTCTAGATGCAGGTACACCGTGTACCAAATAAAACGATCCACTATGCGATCTGGAAACTCATAGTTTTAGCACAAAATTTAGCACAAAATTTTCTTGGACTCTCCTGAGGATTTAAAATATTATAATTCTGTTGATACGAGGTGTCCCAAGAGTGTCCTCTCGATATCAACTTTGTTATTTTAAATGGAACACCCTGTATATATCGCCATTTTTGGAATCCTTGATTAAAATAAAGGTCATTTTCTTAAGAAATTCCTATTCGAATTTTGCATAGTTTAGGCAGAAATTGATCCTGGTATTGCAACCAAAATTTAACCGCAGACTGAGGAGATGATATACTAATCAATCAGTTTGACAGATGCGCCTCAGGGTGCCCCGAATAGGTGGTGCCGTTTTGGCGAATTTAATTAATAAAATCTCAAGATTTTCACAGGGTTCGTTTATAATTATTTATATATTATATTATATTATTATAATAAATATTTTAAATATTTGAAGCAGTTCTAGTAGTTAGGAAAAAATTTAAGGTTCATTTACTGGAATTACAAAAATCTCTGTCCTAAACAAATTAATATTTTACCAATAATTAATTGTTAGACTCTTATTATTATTTTGGATTGTTGTTTCATTATTGTAAAATTCGGTTAATGTTGAGGAGCTGAGATCATGATCTTAAGCTAGACTTCGCTGTTTGAGGTGTGTAACTTAGTTTGTATTAAGTAATTTTGTCTAAATCTTGTGCAATAATTTAAAATATCTCAATAATGACTATTATTATTATTATCGTTGTTAAAAAAATTGAAACAACCAAACGAAGCATTTCATTTTGTTAAAAGAAACTTAACATATTGAGAATTTTCTATTTTTATCGACATAGTCTATAAATAGGTTGAGCTCAAATTAAGCTTAACCTGTTTGAACCAAGTATTACCATGCGAAATTTATTACTCTACGCTTTTCTGAAATAGCCTATAGGATCCAATGAAATGTACAAAAACAATATGTTTTAGACGAAGATGGAAGACAAGGAAGTTTCCAGGTCTGCGGTTTGGGACAAGAACTCGGATCAGGTTAATTTTGATTTATTCGCATACTAAGCGGCACTAAACCCAGGCTATTTTTAGGAAAAGGAGTCGCAAAGTCGATCGGCTACTCCGAGTGAGAACACTCCGGAGTCGTTGAGATGGGGAAATAACTCCGATCAGGTTGAAAATGTCTGTTCAAAATTTGTTAAACATTAAAGTGACGCGTTTTCGTTGCAGGATGAAATCGATGAAAACTTCAGTTCTGAATTGCAAGAGGACAGAAAAAAGTTGATCGTTTTTAAGAATATTTATAAAGGTGAGTTTTCCTTCATGTGTGATAATTACGCAGGGGCTATATTTTTGAAAAGTCAAATCTTTGAACTGGAAGAAAATAAAAGTGTGGTTAAGCGTTCCAATGACATAAATTCATTGTTTTTATTTTTTTTTTAATTTAAAACTAAGGCTCGCTAGGGAATGGGAAAGTGGATTAAAGTAAGTACCAAGAAAATTTAAATTTCTTTGAAATTATTTTGACTTTGACTTTGACTTTGAATGTTTAGGCTGTAACGTTAAACAATTTTTGTTTTTCAAAAAAGTTACAGATACTGCAATACTATTTACATATCTTCTGGATTCCTCCTGCATCCGTAGTATAATAATAATAATAATAATAATAATAATAATAGTAATAAATGTCTTTGTTGAATTAAGTAAATACTCTTTTTATACAGATATTTCATATTAGTTGAACACTAACGCCTCTAATAAAGTTATTGTGTTAAAGTATAGTGTTGTTGTTATTGTGCGCCGTGAAAGCGTATTATTTAACATTTTAAATTCATTTGGTAGATTATTAAATACTCTTGATATTATGCCTTCTAGTAATTATAAATTCTTGTTATTTGTAATTTTTCCTAAGTTTCTCTGGTATAGTCCGACACACGATAATTGATCATGACTGTAATAATCGTAAGCAATTTTGGGCCAATAAATCAAACCGGTCCAGGAAAATTGAAACACAATAGTCACAATAGTTTGAGTTGTACTACTACCATGATTACGCTGTCCTAAGTTGTTTCTATAATTGTTTTCCACAGTGACAAAATCTAAAATCTAAAGGGTAAATTATCGGAAAAAAGTTTTATCTTACTGCTCTGAAAACGTCAACTAGTTGTTTTTTGTATCTTTACCTTGCTCATAGTTGTTACATTTTTAGCTAAAGCTAAATTTGCTTTTTATTGTTTTATTGCTCCGTTTATAATCGGCCAGGCAAGTCATGATCATTTGTCGTGTGCTGATGTATACTTTGGACAATCAACAATCCTCCAACAGGTTTAATGAATAAGCAACGTAGTGTATCTTTTGTTTAGTCTGAAGTAAATAATAACGGCAAACGAGTTATAATTTAATTAATAAAATAAAACTCCGCTTCATAAAATTATTTTGCATGATTACAAATGATGATGTTGATGGATGTATAGTTACTCTTATTAAAAATACGTAATCGAAGTTTAGACGAAAAAACCCAGAGGTTGAACTAATCTCAAGTGAAAAATCTTAACCTTAAATATCTTATAAGTTACTCTAGCAGATATTTGCTGTTACTCAGATACTTAAAGTGCACACGTCCGTGAAGCTTTAGCTGAAAAACAATGATATTTGGATCTTAACATAAACATTCTTTAAATATTGCTTTAATAAACCTTCAAAAGTTAGGTTCTGTTCATTATTTGTCGAACAACTAATAGCGCTTATAGGTTATGTTTCCCCATAGTAATGCGCAAGTCTTTCTCTTACTTTTTTGACACAGTTGACACTTATGTCAAGAACGATAAATGTATTTACTCTCGCAACTCGTTCACGGTATAATTATTTTAGAAGTCGAAAATTAAATACAAGGTAGTCCATTGGTGTGACATTCAATTGCTATTTGAAAGCAACACGTACGCAAAGCTATATAAAAAACAGTTATCAAATTTTAGTAAGTTTTCAAAACATATTTCGCTTCGCAAAAAAGTAGCACTCTCTCGCGAAAACGGCATCTTTCTGTCTAAAATGGGACACCCAGTATTTTCGGCTGCAAACAATTTCAACGGATAATAAAGGCTTTTATTACAGAGATGCTTGAAAAGGACAACGACAATGAGGTGTCTCAAGAGTTTTGGCGATTCGTGGAAAATATAACGAAAACCCAAAGAAAAAATACTCGACATCAGTTGAAAGCTGTCACTAAAATTGACAGCACGGATCATTACGAAGGCGACAAGGTATTTAATTACACACGAAAGACTTCAAAGAAACTTCCACAGGCTACTATAATACTATTTATTACAAATCTTCTGAATCCAGAAAATATATAAACACTAAAATAGCTTAGCCCTAAAAAAAATAACCAAACCATGAGGAATAACTATAATTTATGTAGATGGCAGTTTGATCCTTCATTGACCGACCACAGAACTATGATAATACATTATTAAGTAAATGCAACATGAATGGAAAAAATAGTTTTACTGTATTAAATAAGTATTAGATTAACATTAGACGTAATTCAAGACTTATTTGGGACACATAATTTGACATTTATCTTGTCCACCAAAAGCTCTCTAGTTTCAATTCCTTTGCTGAATATAATAATAACAATAATAATAATAATAATAATAATAGTATAATCGGTTTCTTCGGCTTTGATCGTTTAAAATCTTAACATTTCAACTCCTATAATATCCAATAATCGATGTCAAAAATTACCATTACAAAGCACTGTAATCACGGTTACATAATATTCTTCATAGTAAACTCTGGGTTTGAATGGGCCCATATTTAGCGTGTTGCAGAAGTAACTTAGATTTTAGGATTATATAACTTTTTGATTCATGAAACATACGTTCTCCAAGAGCTACTTCAAATTCTGCGAATTTATTCTATTATTTAGACCGCCAACAACTCCGGGATGACTGAAATGTGTGTATACTGTGGCACAACACCAACCAACGACGTTCCCACTTTAACTATCCTATAGATAAGAGACTCGAAAGTTGACTTAAACTGTGACCTACTTGACGAATTAATGGGGTGTGCGCTGAGTTTCGAGGACCAGAAGTTCGATAAAACTCTCTCGTTGCTTTTGAGATAAATAAATAAAACTTTTAGTCACTTAGCACAACTTAACCTTTGAACGGTACTTCTGATACATATACGTAGTAAAAAAAATGTAAGGATCAAAAATTTATTTAATCAAAGCCGGTTCATCCTCTTTCATTTCATTTCAGCTCATTTAAAACTGCCATGTGCATCTCTAAGTATACACAGTGACTTTTCTTAGGGTGCCACGTGTATATACATGGTATATACATGTAACTACTAATATTGTGCCGCGTATATCCTACAGTAACACACTTTACGTGCTTTTCTTATGAGATATAGTTTGGCGTGGCGTAGGGGAATATCAAAGCGTTTTTAGCGCTAACTTTTAATAATTTCATTTTTTTATACAATCATTTAATTGTTTAGCTAGCACATTATTTTGAAATAAAACACGGTTGAGAGTTTGAGCATATATCTAAATATAAAAAGACATAATCGAAATAAAGAAAACACGCACACGAACACTTTGAACAATAAACGATAAAACAATAAATTCAATCATTTTAGGTACAGCATTGTGTTTGTCAAAAAAGCAGTCTAAGCATAGAAACTTTTCAATGCATAATTGTCATTCAGTGCTAACTTGTTTAGTTTCTTTATTTGTTTAATAGCACAAAACACATCGGCTTTCTTTTCCTACTTGGATAAATTTATGGAACTGTTCAGGTGGGCGATCAGGAACAGTATTTTTTTCCCCCTTAGACAACATTTTCAAGCATAATTTCTCCTTGAAATCAATAATACTGCCTTTTTTATTCGTTTTTCTTGTATAAATAATGCTTACAACACTTTTGCCCGTAAGTAATTCAAATTCAACCTTTTTATACCACTTGACGCTGCGTCTAACGGATGTAGAGTAGGATGATAACTGGTCTGAAACATCAATAAAACTTTTTGCCTTATTATAGTCAATCAGAGCGTCAGGCTTCTTTTTAGCTCAAATTCTTCCAGAAACTCCTACAAGATTTGCTCGATGCCATTGGCCTCTTTACCTTTACCTTTTTTAGTTTAGTGAAGAAAACTTCTTTGGAGATGCCTTTTCGATTTTTATATAGTGTTCCTATTAGGTGTATCTTTCTATATAAAAGCTTTTCTGCCAATTATACCCTGGTGTCCCAGTTAGTTATCTGTATACAGGGTCGCTCCTTTGTCGAGACAATCCGACATTAATTCAAAAACAACTTTTGTTACACATTCCTTCAGTTTTTTCTGCGCCACAAGAAATTTTGCATTGATACGTATAATCACCAGAAAGACAGAGCTTGAAAAGCTTTATGTCAAATTAATGCCTCTTTCCTTTCACATATTGACGAAATTTGAGACGCCTTGTTTCGTCAATGGACAAATTTTCATCCGGTACCACAACCCTTTTGAATTTTTCGTTCAGCGAGTTTACTATGGGTTCAATTTTGTGAAGTCGATCTCCAGGTTGACATAAATCATTATCGGCGAAGTGCCACATCGTTAGTAAAAGTTCAAATCTATTTCGGGATATATATCCAGCTGCTCTGATTCAAACCCATCCATATCAAAATTCCCAAAAAACAGTACATTTCGTCCGCGTTAGTCTCCTTCCATTTGTTTACACGCGAAGATGGGGCAATTGTTTCTTCAGTAATACCTTGCATAATGATCTGGTCTGCGTATATATTGGTTTGTTCGACAATAATGTTTCCAACCGCGTCATCCACAAAAAGTCAAAAATAAGCGAATTCATTTTCATTTTTTAAATTTCATACTTCCTGCGTCAGGCCTACATCTTCTTGAAAAGTAAAATTTCGCGTATTGCCAACCACTATTCCCCGATCGTTAATCGTAAAATTATTGCTCTCGTCGTCGGACAAATTTTCATGTTCTATTTCAAACTGAGATTCTGATGGAATCGAATCATCTGAAAATTATTTACGAAAATAGGAACCTATATGTTGCCTTTATTTTTTCAAGTAAATACCTCTAGTCGTTTTCCGAGCTCGTTTTGGCAAAGTGTCGTTCTCATCATCAAATAAATTTTCTGTTTCTACTTCATATCGAGACTCTAAATAAAAAAAACAGTATCGGAAAATGGGTAAATCGCGGGTTTTACAACCACTTACTTTTCCTACCTGGGATGGCAGTACTACTTCGGTACTGGAGCTTTCCAACTCATATTCAGGATCCCCATCAGACTCTTCCTCCCATAGTCTGCAATCTAGACTGTTCATTTTCATACGATCCCATTTCTATGAATCACACCAAATCACCATACAAACAACACAAGTCACTTATAAACTGCACTGCACCAAATTCATTATTCACAAGTTCACAATGAGTCCGATAGACAAGAATAAGCCTGCTTAACCGTGTATATCACGATATACATATGGCGCAGAATATGTTTTTTTAACTCTACGCCACGTGTATATTTTTTATACACTAGGTTTTAATAACAAAAAAAACAACAAACATTTCGATTATATGATATTGTGTTAGGAGGCTATGTGTGGCCTATGTGAACCCCTCAATGATTTTGGGGCGGTAATCCAAGTGTTAACCTGTTTTGCTTATGCCTTACGGTATTAGTCCAACCTCACTTTTCTTGAAGATTATTTAGTTTGGCATAAGAATCTTGCATATGATATGATATATGATAATAGTGCATATGATAACGGGAATTTTTCGTTAATAAGTAAATAATATCTATTAGTGGAGTTTCCTACTACAACATATAAATTTTTATTTCATGCTTAATAATTTTAGGTTATACTGGGCAAAAACGGCACAAAAGTCTCGAAATCTTTATTCGCGACAATTAACTGGAGCAAATATACCAGCGCTACGAGAAGGTTGCTCAGCGCGTTCTTCAGTCGCAAAGTAATGGCGACACATTCTTTGACTGGGAAACCAAGCCCGGCCTTTCTAGATACCAAGGAAGCGAAACTACAGTAAGTTGAACCGAAATCCGATTTTTAATGAAAATCTACGCCAATATTCGTTTTAGATTGGACCCGCTTATCGTAGGGGACATCATTGAGATTGTCTGCAGGAAATGCAACGTGAACAAATCGGAAGTGAGGGGCGCTATCACCTCAAAATGTGCGGACGAAAACAAACTTTATAAAAAATCAGAACGGCTCAAATGTAAAAGTTAAAAAATAGTCGGTTGTTAGGATAACAACGTATGTCTGTGATAAAAATACAACATAAAAGGCTCTCGACAAATATATTTTTAATTAAATTTATCACACTTGACCTTAAAGTGAGAGTAACATTTCGGCTCTCCGGATTTCACCGGAACCATTAAGTAAAAATAATATATTAAATAAATACCCTTATACACATTTAATAAAATAATTTCTTTTCTTTCTTTTCTTTTCTTTTCTTTTTGATCTTATAATAGGTGTCTCTGGATATTTTGAGTTAAACAAAGCTTAAAAGTTCTCGTTTTGTATCCATATTCAACTAAAATTAAAATTTCAATTCTCTGGATTTAGTTTTCTTTACTGACAGCATTGTAATTGTAACAACTTTTTATGCGTGAAATTTGACACAGAATGCGAAAATAAATTTAAAAAAGGAACATGTATTTACGCAAGAGAAAATTTCAGTTGCTTTATCTATGAAAGCTTTGGTGTTGGTTACTTCAGGTTTAACTTTTGTAATTATTAAAATTCTATGTAACAACAGTACAACAGTTGAATAATTGTAAATTAAATAAAGCAGAGATTTGAGTGGTAATAATTTTCAACTGGTTTTAGTTTTATATCGGTTACGAAGGTTTTATAAGTTAGCTTTTTGGTTAGTTTATATAACTTAACTTTTATAAATCTCCTCACCTTAGGTTTTATGGCAAAAGCAATATAATAAATATTATTTTTATATTTATTTTGTTTATAATTATATAACATTCACTTGTCCAACAGGAAAGCATTGATAATTCAAAAACAAAAATACGACAACTACAACACTCCTTAAACTAATTATTTTTAATTAGGAAACATGGAGGGAGTCTAATCATTTTTCATATTGTGCTATAAATTATCAAAAGAACATCATTTAAGTGGGAAACAAATCTCCAAATAAAACAACTTCATTGCGTGCAGTCTCCTAAAGTTTTAGGTCCAAGTCAAAACATAACTTTTATTAAAGTCATCAGTCATTTTTATAAATCTGATTTCGATTTCAGAAGTTAAATACGGGATTGCATTTCTTTAGCAACAAAAATCTAACATCTACTCCATCAACTTATTGATTTCAATATCCGCGTGGTCTACGGAAGAATATGTAGAATAAATCTTCTCTGGGACTCGCTTTAAATTTGAGCCTGTTATGGCTCGATGCGCAAAAACCACCGAAATCGAGTTACACACTGCGCCATCTATTCGATGTACTTCGAACCCAGATATTTTAAAGCTCAACTGTTATGGCATTGATGTCGCCAGGCGCGCGATCGCGTGTTTCGATTTCATTTTAAAGGTTTTAGATGGGTTGCACAGATGACTTGAGGTTTGTGTATATGTCACCGTCACTGTCCGTTTTCAACTGCATATACTGTTTCAATGATTAATGATTAATGAATTATTAGCTTTGTCAAACGTACTTGCGAAAAGGACCGAATCATTTCAATCAATCGTTCCTTTCAATAATTTTTGTTGTCAACATAAGCACGAATAGTTCCTAAATCGCAACAGTTGGAACGACGAATTCAGATTCATTTGAATTTGAATTATTAGATGTGTTTGCTTTTTATTGAATCATGATTTTAAGAAATTTGTTTATAAACTATGGTAATATTATTGCCGACATTCAACTTTCTTTCTCTGCCTTTCTATTTTTGTTTGTATTTATTACTGTGGTTTTTTAGGTACTGGATCTGTGGTTTTGGGAAGCTGCTAATATGGCAAACATAATCAAGAATGTTATAAAACCCAGAAAATTTTTGCAATGTAAATTAAGTGGTAATGTGGCTAGTCTTCATACAAGGTAAATTACCATGATTTGTTAAATTCAGTAAAAAGGGTCGAATAATGTTATATAATTGTACAGGTTATGCTGTCGGTGGTGTTTTATAAGTTATTGAAAATGATAATACTAAACTGGATTTTGTAGTAAGGCCGTCAGCGCCACATGGTATGCGGACGAGGAGTATTTCAAATCTTTTAACGGGCCGGTGATGTATCCCGATGAACTGACGAAGCGGATACTTCCACAGCCGTGGAACGCAAAGAAGCCGCTCCTTGTAAAGGAAGTAAAAAATATTACCCTTAATTTTGGGCCTCAGCATCCAGCCGCTCACGGCGTGCTCCGACTGGTACTCGAGTTAGATGGGGAGGTTTGTGAACAACACATTATGTTACAAATTAATAGTAGAGAATTGTAGACTGTGAAAAGGTCTGATCCACATATTGGTCTATTACACCGGGGTACTGAGAAATTAATCGAGTACAAGACTTACACACAGGCCCTCCCATATTTTGACCGCCTGGATTATGTTTCCATGATGTGCAATGAGCAATGTTTTAGTTTAGCCATAGAAAAGCTTCTCAATGTTGACGTTCCTCTAAGGGCCAAATATATTAGAGGTTCGATAATTTGTTTCGTGGAGGTCGAAGATTGATTAATTTATATTTCAGTGTTGTTTGGAGAACTTACTAGGATTTTGAACCACATCATGGGTATTTGCACCCACGCTTTGGACGTTGGCGCCATCACGCCTTTCTTTTGGCTCTTCGAGGAACGAGAGAAGATGATGGAGTTTTACGAGAGAGTTTCCGGTGCTCGTATGCACGCCGCTTATGTGAGACCCGGAGGGGTAGCTCTGGATTTACCTTTGGGACTGATGGACGATATTTACGAATTTGCCTCGAAATTTGGCGAAAGGTTGGACGAGGTGGAAGATATGTTGACCTCGAATAGAATTTGGATTCAAAGGACAGAGGACGTCGGGGTGGTGACAGCCGAGGACGCGTTAAATCTCGGTTTTAGCGGAGTAATGTTGAGAGGATCGGGTATCAAATGGGACTTGCGCAAGTCTCAGCCCTATGACGCTTATGATCTGGTGGATTTCGACGTGCCCATCGGTACCAAGGGTGACTGTTACGACCGATATTTGTGCCGGATGGAAGAGATGCGTCAATCTCTGCGCATAATCGACCAGTGTTTGAATCAGATGCCTCCCGGTGAGGTCAAAACAGACGACGCGAAAATAACGCCTCCCAGTCGAACTGAGATGAAGGTAAATATAGAGATTATCTTCGCAGGAATTATAGTGATGTTTTTCTTATGGAATCCCATATATATTCTTATTTTCTAAAGACATTTGGTGTAACCTAGGTTAAACTCAATAGTTTTGAAATATTTTCCATTTTGCAAAAAAAAATGCATGAATTGAAAGTTCCTTTGATGCACAATTATTATTTTTAGCAACAATATTGCATAAAACTAAGATTAAACTGCTTAAGTTAATACACTTAGTTACCGCTATATGGGGCGTCTCAATTATTAGGGTGAAATAAAATTTCAAAGTACAATTTCTTTTTTTAATTGAGGGCCCATATTTCTTTTATTTTACGCCTTCCTGACATCAATATAAATATGTCCTATGGAATAGGATAAAATTATTTATTAACAAATTTGTTCTTTTCAGACAGTATAGCACTATAACCATGAATTGTTTCATATTGTTATTATTAAAGAAAAAAGAGAACACAACTTGCAATTTAAAGCACTAGATGGCGCTAACAATCCAAAAGTAGTTATTGTTATGTGTCAATTTGATATTTGTGTTATATGAATTTTTCTAGAGAAAAATTGATTGCCATCTATAATTTTAATAATAACCACTCTCATTGTACATAGACTAGAAATGTGTGTTGACAAAAATGAGGGTTAATTTTTTTTCTCAGAAATGCTAATATCTGTTTAATAAATGAATAATTGTTCCAGTTAATTTATATAATTGCCATTGATGTGAAAATACAAATTAGGCCATTCTAAAATTGCTTAAAATAATAGTATTTTCCACTTAAATCGTCTTTTGGTTAGTTTGTTTGTTGTTTTTACTCAAACAAAAATGAAACCATCTTGGATAATAGTAGTTTATAATAAAAGGAAGGAAGCATTTGGTATTAGGAACATAGTAAAATAAGAATGTTTCTGTGTTTCTCGCCAATATTTGAGGCACCTTGTATTGGACCTGATTAACTCTACACACTTATATTTTAGATAAAATTCAGCCAAATGGTGCACAACAGTTTTCAAAAAACTTTGCCATTCACTTTTTTTTTGCACAATACCAAATATTTAAACAAAACTATTAAGTTTTGGCTTAGTCTATGTTTTACAAAGTGTGTTATTAACGGTAGAATCAAAATATAGAGGAATATGTAGGGAGAGCCATAGGAAAAAACATTGTTACTTTCTCCTACATCTATGCACACCATATAACAACTACATCTTATACCTATCTCCAAGAATTCTGTAAATTTTCAAGACCATATTAATATTTTTGAATTTTTTTTTCAAATTTTGTTTATTGATTTTTTATCAATTTTAGTTAAGTATTTTTTTTTTCAGAAAAGGGCATGTTCCACATATTTACATTACAATTTAGCCAAATAGAAAATAAAAACACATTGCTATTCTACAGGGTGATTCATAAAGAACTCATACATACAGTTTCAGAAATAGGGCGCGTTCAAAGTTTAAATTTTATTCTGAATTTTCTAAAGAATTGAGAAAGTTTTAGGTTTTTTTTTTTACTTAAAATTAAGAATTCGAAACTTATTCAGACGCTGCTTCTAGATTGTAGTATTCAATTTTCTATATAAATCATTGAAAGGTGAAAATGTATGGAGAGCGATAAAAAATAATATTTAAGAATAATAATTTTGGCAATGTAACAAAAAAAATCTTCAAACCTAATATTGGAATTGTCCACCATATACATATTAAAATACACTCTGCTAAATGTCTGTGAATGACAAATAAAAGTTCTTTATTATTGCCAGGACTATTCGCGGCTTCTGACGTTTTTTGCAATATTTGATTTGAAAATTTTTATATTATCATCACCAATATTGTTATTGTTAGATTTGATTTATCTAAATAATGCGGTGAAACTAGCGCCCCCAGGAGCTAACTAATGAGAAAATTCAGAATAACCTTTGAACTTTAATAGTACCCAGGGACATTTGTTATAAACATGTTATATTTTATATTGCCTCCTTGTTTTCTAATTTATTATAAATTTGTCGAATATGTCGGAAAGTTAGGCAACCTCTTCGGTGGTGTAAAAACTTTCTCTAAGTTCATGTGTCCGATAAACCTTATCTCACCTAGTGGAATGAATTTGGTTTTTCTATAATATACTTTGTTCGCAGACCTCGATGGAAGCGCTGATTCATCACTTTAAATTGTTCACTCAAGGGTATCAGGTGCCACCAGGAAGCACATATACCGCGGTCGAGGCGCCGAAAGGCGAATTTGGAGTTTATTTGGTGTCGGACGGAAGTTCTAAACCTTACAGGTATCTTATCTAAAGCATTTCTCTGCCTTTATGGTTTAACTTACGTTTTTTTTCAATAGATGCAAAATTAAGGCGCCAGGATTTGCCCATTTGGCGGCTCTAGATAAAGTTGGGAAAAATCATATGTTGGCAGATATCGTTGCAATTATTGGTACTCTAGATATTGTGTTCGGCGAAGTTGATCGATAATGTGTGTCGCACCTAATATAGTTATTATTGTGATTGTATTAATATTCCCGAGAATTAAAAGAAAACTGTAAATATGTTAAGAATTAATTTGTTAGCTTTAAAATAACTTACAGGTGATTCTATTAAATGCCCTTGAGCCTGCGTGACATGATTAATTTTTACAAAACTATTTTTACAAATTTTTAACAACAAACTTCTGTTTTCTATGTGGCTTCTAAATATTTTGTAAGGCGCTATACAAGTTTTGGTAACATGTTTCATTCAAGAGCACGTACATACGTTTCATAATTTTTTAATACTCCTTTTTGTACATCTATTGGCCCCGTTTACAAGGATCATTCGGCCAGTCTTCGCGGTAAATGATGTCTCCACTTCGAACATTTCCAATATACTCGGCTCACCCTTAAAAGTTAAAAATGTTCGCCTCGACGCGTTCTGCTTGCCTACCAAAATTCAATTCTCTACAACCACTATATTCATACTTACCACACCCTTCCAATCAGTCTTAACGAGTTAGAGCAGCAGAAGTGTCTTATCTTTACGTCAACGATGGGCGAATGCTATTAGTCATTTTGTCCATTGTTTGTGAGTGGAAGAGAAGTGCTCATTATTTCAGATTAATTTAGTGGTCTGTGCTTTGTTTGTCGGGGTGTGGGGTGTGGTTTATTTTTGTGATGATTTGGAGGCTAGTTTAATCATCATATTTGTTATTCGGGATTTTCAAAATGCCGGTTTGTTTTACAGATTTTTTTTCAATTTTATCCAAATTCATTGATATTTTTTAGGCATACCATTCAAGTTTTTTGGAACCCAACCAGATTATCGGAAATACGGCAATTTTGCCGTTCAAAACTAACTTTCGGGGTCCAGCGCCACCATTCTCGAGTAACGATCAAGATATTATTGATGAGGCCATATATTATTTCAAAGCAAACGTGTTTTTTCGTACATACGAAATAAAGGTACTTCAAATAATACCTTTGCCTAAGATTTACTTTTAGTAATTTTGATATTCATGCAATTTAACAATTTAGTAGCATTTAAATTTTAAGAATTTATTTGCTATTAAACTACTAAGCAATTGCTTTTAGTCAGAAGCAGACAGATTATTGATATATATCACTTTATATATTACCGAGTGTCTAAAAAAAATCCAAAAGTGTTCCAATAAGAGTCAAGCTCACAATGAAATGTATACTTTGGCCATTTCCCGGTTTGATATTCCTGGAGATGCCGGCTTTCCTCTTAATTCCGTATACAGGTTTGATATCAGTATTCTTTCAATGTTAAAATTTTCATTCCTTTAATTGGGTTTTAGCAAACCTGGATCTGCTAGTGAAGCTGAATTCCTAAAGAGTTATTTAACTCAATTACGACAAGAAGTTGGATCTCGTGTAACAGAAAAAGTGTTTATAGACAATGGTAAACCAAGCAAATGGTGGTTGTGTTTTGCCAAGAAGAAGTTCATGGACAAATCCCTTTCCGGCCCTGGGCAGTGATAATGAGCTAATCATCGTTTTGGTTACAATATGTCTACATTTTAAAGTTTAACTAAATTTAAAGTTTTTAATAAATTAGTTCTCAAATGTCTTTTATTTATAAGTGATTGTTCCTAAGAATTTTTTGAATCTACAGTGTGTTGTGTGTTTGTCACTTTTTAAATATTAAATAATTATAAAAAAAATTAGGGATATTTTAAAAAGGCAGACAAGACTTATAAGCATTTCATTTTTTCAGCACTAATGCTTTTCATCTTTAAACCTTTCAGAGCTCATTTTTTAGAAAAAAAGTTGTGGTATTTTAGAACCTACCAAAACTCACCATAGCTTTACCAATTAATTTTTTTTTACCGATTTGCTTTAAGTTGTAATAGTGAGTGCTTCATTCGCTGTATTTGTGTCGCACGGTTCCTCCGTTTCCGTTATTTACATTGATCGGAGGCTGGATGGGCCCAGCTGGTCAGCGACAGATAGTTATTGTTTGATGTAATAAACCTTAAATCTGCACCGGCAGTAGTCGAGAATGGGCGAATAGCCCTAGTAAATTTGCCCACCTCACGTGAGACGGCAAATTTTCTGTAGCCTGTGGTATATTTGTATGGGGTTATGCCACTAGACACGTAGAGACCCTGCATATGGTGATAGCACGGGAGCCCATGAAGCATGACTGCGGTTTAAGACAATCAACATGGCCACTGACAGATCGTCAATAAGTTTGGATTGGCAGTATTTTGTCAAAAGACAAAGGATCTAGTTAAATGTTCTGTAAAAACGAGATAGGTCTGTGGAAATCGCTGTCTAGAATGAAAATGACACAAAGTAAAATGTTAGTGAATGAAATGTCCTGGCATATTATTAACAATTGGGGTGCTATAAATGCAAAATTAATTTTTAGTCTATATACATTACTATTATTGTCTGGAAGACCGGCTGGAATAAGTGAGTTAAGGTTAATTCAGGGAACTAACAAACTATAAATAACGGTCGGTCGTAGGGTTTGACGTATTTATTTCAGTACAAACTATAAATTACTGCAGTAAAGTAAGTTTCGAAGCTATTAAACTAAAGCGGCCGTTTTCGCGGGGGCGAAAAAAATGTTAAAAGCTTAAGATAACAGGTAGGTAAGATAAGTTAGAAAACATCACAATTTATAACATAAGGCTTAATAAACTTCTAGATTAAATGTATATTTTATTGGATTCATCCCGCCGTGCGCGGACGCTCTGTATAATAAAATAAATAAATAAATAAGTCGTTCTTATTAAATTTCAATTGCTACGGGTCTAAGTACCACATCGCGTTTTAGAAGTCGCTTGACTAGACGAAAATTGTTTGAATTTGGCTACACACACTGATAATCAGAACGATGATTTGATGAATTGAAATATTACACAATGCTGTTGATATGTAGCTTTAGGATACCGAAAGAACACTTTCTAAATCGATAACAATTTTGTACAAAAATTTATTGCAATCTGTCGCGCAAAACAGTCTGTTCACATACATAGATAAGGTCGCACCAAGTCGAGCTTCCTCCTAGATATTGAAACTGGTTTAGTTTTTTTTGTAATTAACGATAGTACATTTGAAGTGATACGACCGAATGCAATTTGTGAAGCAAAATGATCGGTCAACGAGCCTCAAATTACATTTACATTTTTACGACCTACTTAAGTTTACAGTAAGTGCTAACTACCTACTAACCGTAGAAGTTCTTACTTAAAAATGGAAAATGAAATGAGAAAGACTTTGGTGTTGGCATCGGCTTGCAGGCAGGCTTAAACATTTCTCCGAAATTCCTTAATATTTCACATTTTAGCAATGAAATAATATTCATCTCCTTTAAAATTTTATGTTTTATCAAAAACATTATAATCTACAGTATTGCAATCGCAATTTACAATGACCACTACAAATTAAAAACTGAATATTTTTTGCTTTAATGCAAAATATACCGGACAATTGGTTGTCTACTACACTGTTTTCGACTGCTTTACGGGAAGACGTCACTTTTATCAATCCCAATTAAATATAAGGGAATTTGAGCCGCTTCTACTACCATTTAGCTAAAAATAGCTAATATTTATAAAAGATATAGGCAAGAACTGCGTTAAACCAGCAACCATTTATTTTCATTTATGTGAAACGCAGTGAATTTGTTTTTTTTAGCGAGTCAGGTTATTAACGGTGTTTCCAATCCGGATCTGGAAACGGATTTTGAAAAGTCGCAATCGCACGTATTATTTGATAATCAGTACAATTATAAAAAAAACTGTAAAAAACTGTTGGCTATTCTTACAAAATAGTATGAAACCCATTATACGTACTTATATCCCTAATGAAGTGATCACCTCAAACCAACACCTTAGGGTCTTAGATGAAGTATAATAATAATAATAATATTATACTATTTTCATTCGATAACTTTTACAAGAAAGGCAGCACAACGAATTTAAGAGCAAATTTACCGTACCGTACTTGACTGCTATTTGTGCAACTAAATAAATTGATTCATTTCAGTGCCTCTCAGGGAGTGATCTAATTGATAATTATTATACGATACGCTACTGCTTTTTAAAAACATTACAATTTCTTTTGGATCTGGCGATCAAAAATTACGCTTTTTTATTACTTGAATTTTTTGTTTTCCCGAAAAAAAAAATAAACCTACAAATTTAATTTAATTTATTTCGTTATTGGTTGGTTATAGTTTGATTACTTTTCTTCAATACTAAATTTACTTTTGTTATTATTATTACTTGTTCTTTAGTTTTAGTAAAGTAACGCGTTTTGTAATTCAATAAATTTTATTATTGCGAATTGATATTAATTGTTTCAGCCGCTCTTTTTTCAAAAACGAAAAAACAACAATGGGAATATCAATTAATGCAATTACGACGAAGTTTCGTCAAAATCAGCCGATGAATCTGCCCTTAAAATCCTGCCTTCCGTTTCTGCCACTTTCTGCATTTAATACGCGCCGTATATCAAAATTATTTTCTCATTCTCTTTACACATTAACATTTTCGCTATTGTTTAATTTGTCTTTGCAAATGGCACATTAAATAATATAAAAATTCTGCCGAGGAAGCCTGAAAAATATCTTTTCGGACCTCCTCCCGCGCGTTGCGGCAACAGAGAAAAATATGACACAATGATATTATTATATTAAATATAAACCTAAATAAGTATACATACCATGAAACAGATTACATCTTAGCGAACGTATTAACTGGATGTGACATAAAAACCACGGGGGCACCTAAATACGAACACCACAGTTTTTGAAATAAGACTGCGGGAATACTATATCAAAAAATATAAAGGACAAATGGTAGCCTGAAATCCAATTGCGGCAGCAAACGACGTAATCCTTCCTATCGGCGGTCCTTCCTGGTTAAAGCGGTTGAAAAATAAATAGCTGAAATCAAAACGTCCCTTTTTAATGACAACGTAGCAAATGTAACGTATATACACATTACAACGTCAAACATTAATCCATTAAAAGTTTGAACCCATACAAAAAATCATACAAGCTTGGGTATACTGATTTTTTTGTAAATAATTTTTGAAAATAATTCGAAATTAGGACAAAAATCGGAAATTTGGAGTTTTTTCAACTTGAGCATTGGATACATCCTTAAATAAAAATGAATGAATAAATAATAAACGAAATAAATTATTTACTGGAAACGACTAATATATATACCATTAAGTTAATTTTCTCGAAAAGTGCCGACTCGATTTGGTTATACAGTGTGTTAAAAAAGTACGCAAACTAACAAACGATTCCTTGCGCGATTTTAAGACGAAAAATTCATATAAACATAGGTCCAATGCATATTTTTCAAGATACAGGGTATTAAAATTTGTTTTTCCTTTTATAACTTTCATATCACTTTAAATATTTTTATAAAATTTTGTGAACATCGTTTAATTATTGAGAGGCGGTTTTTGAAACAAAAGCTTTTTTTTTATATTTACTTTGAACTGAATATTTTTAAAGAAAAAAGTGGCACGTCACTGCTTTTTCTGAAAACAAAAATTATTTTTAAAATCCCCTTTCAATTTGGAGCAAACTTGCTTTCGTACGACGTACGGTGTTCGCTTAAAACAATAAAATCATTTAAATGCGTCTACTATAACCCAAATGCAATTTTGCAATGTTAATTTTTATGTAAAATCGGCTCCATTTGAAAGTTCGCACGTGCAATGCTATGACTAGTGCCCATAAACAGAAATAAGTATAATTTGTAATAATCTAGTGATTCTTTTTTCACGGTCATGTCTTTTTTATCTGTTTTTTTTTGTTTATGATTTTCCATTAGCAATCATGTGGTCCTTTTTAGTTTTTTTTTTATTTATTAAAACTTGCTACTACATCATTATTTGTATCTGTACTTTTTTTTTTAATTAAACTAGCTAGCAATTTAATAGGAAAATTTAAGAAAGAAATTGCAATTTAATAGACAATTTGCTAGTCAAAAAAACCTATGGCAAAGTGGGCTTTGCTAAGCGACAGTAATACATTTGTTGATAACAATAACATAACACTAACATGACAGTGTGTTGTGTTTTTAAAAGTTTATTTACTGGTTTTTGGTGAAACGGCAGATATGCACTTCGTGTATGGAATGGCTCATGGTAATGTCTCAAGAAAGATATCCTAACTGTCCGCTACCTAACAGACAACTTTTTGTCAATATTTGCTCCAGACTTGGTGAAACGAGTAGTTTTAAGAGGTCTACTGCTCTTATAGGGGGACCAAGAACAGTAAGGACGGTTCAGATACAAGAAGCTGTCATAAATGCTATTGAAGAAAACCCATAAACTAGTACGAGAAAAATTGCAACCGAATTAAACGTTTCCCATGTATTACTAGTATGGCAAATTTTAATCAACAACTTTACCAAACTCTTGACTGGGACCTTCGGCACTGTACTAACACACAATAACGCCTTTTACCACAAACCGAAACTCAATTTTACGTACCCGACGCGTGTGTCGCCAACCAAGTTGGCATCTTCAGGAGAAGATTAAAACTATTAAAACAACTTTACCCTTATCATATGCAAATAGTCCAAGCCCTTTTGCCAAGGGATTTTTCACTAAGAGTGGCTTCGTGTAGCAAAATAAAAGCTTTTTATCACAAGTGTTGTTTACCGACGAGGCATGTTTCTGCCGTAACTCATAACAATCATGTGTGGGCCGATGATAATCCTCACGTCGTAATTGAGAACCATTTTCAAGAGCAATTTTCGGTAAATGTTTGGATTGGATTTATAGGGAATTTCCTTATCGAGCCTCACTTTTTGTCTGGCAGACCTACTGGTGAGCAGTACAGACAATTTATTGAACATGTATTACCTGAACTTTTGAAGGATACACCGTTAGAGCAAAAACGTTCTATGTGGTTTATGCATGACGGAGCTCCACCGCACTTCAGTTTAGTAGCACGTCAGTATGGACCACATTTTGGACCACCCAGGTCACCTGATTTCAATCCAATAGATTTCATTAGTGTACACAACACCAGTCCAAAATAAGGAAGATCTAAGAAATCGGATAGAAGACTCTTGTACAATTATTAGGAACACCCCTGCCTGGTATTCTAGAAACGGTTCGCCAGTCCCTAGTAATGCGTACAAACGCATGTAATTTTTTTTTTTTTTGGAAAAGTATTGTTTGTAAAGACAGTTATTATATTTTGTTTAGAGTTATTTATTATTATTTCATAATAAACGTCTTCCTGTTAGTAATTAATTTTTATTTATTTATTTTTTAAACGAAAACCGTGCGTCGTACGAAAGCAAGTTCATGCACCGAATTTGCTTCAAATTGAATGGGGAATTTAAAAATTATTTATGTTTCCAGAAAAAGCAGTGGCTTGCCATTTTTTTCTTTAAAAATATTCAGACCAAACCCCATACGGACTCCACTGGTAAAAATAAAAATAAAGCTTTTGTGTCAAAAACCGCCTTACAATAATTAAAAGATGTATACCCAAATATCGAAAGTGATATAAAAAGAAACTAATTTTTTAGAAAATTTTAACACCCTGTATCTTGAAAAATATGTATTTTTGGACTTAGGTTTATACGAAATTTTTATTTTAAAATCAAGCAAAGAATCGTTTCTTGGCAGCGTACTTTTTTAACACCCTGTATATCCAAATCGAGTCAGCACTTTTCGAGAAAATTAACTTAATGATATTGTATGTATACCAATGGTGTATTATATTAGTCGTTTTCAGTAAATAATTTTTATTTCATGATCTATGCAATGTTTCTCAGGGCAAGAATTGTTTTCTTTTTTTATTCACGTTTTTCACTCAGTTATTAAATGAAGATTTCAAGAGCAGTTTTATAATGCCCGACCACATTTTACAAGAATAGTACAAGATGATGACTTGGGTGGTTTTCACGCAGTCCAGACCTTAATCCAATAAAACATTTGTGCCATAAAATCAGTGTCAAGGCAATATCTAGAAATATTTATGGTTTTATTTCAATTTTTTTTTGTGAGAAACCGAATATATTACTCGAGACATATTTCGAAATTAAAGAATTTCATCTTCAGTCACTAAAATTGGTATGCAAGCAGGAAAATGGAAAATGATTCAATTTAAAGCACCTGCAATGCTACAGTGGGGCGAGTTTGACTGTAATTGAACTGTTTTGTTAACTTCCTGCTTGCACACCAATTTGAGTCACTGAAAAACTCAAAATGCCATTCTTTCAATTTATAAACGTGTCTCGATTAATATGTCTCGCGTATTTAATTGGTGGTTTGTCAAAGAATTGTAGGTTATTTAATTAGCTGGAAGAAAAGAAAATAACATATGGAAGTTTTGCATTAAAACAGGATCCAAATAAATCTGGGCGTAAAACGATTTGTAAAATCTGCAAGAAATTCAAGGGATAGTTCAAAGACTAAAAGCACGCCATGATGTTTGCGATAATAAGCAGCAAAAAGCGAATACAGGCAGGTAAATAATATTTCACTTTTATTTAACTTTTCATTTCGTAAAAGTATGGTATTCACAAAAACGTTTTCAAAAGAATTAAAAAATCTCATGTCTTTTCTTGCCAAAATTTGAATTCATGCATGAAACTGAAAATCAGCCCGAACCCCATAAAAGGATGTTTGCAGATATAAGCAACAGGATGGAGACAGAAAAAGATGGAAAATTAGTACTTTTGTTTAAACTTATACAACGAAAATGCAGAAGCACAAAGCATATGTTATGTTATTTGCCTTATTTTTTTAGAGTTGTGTTTTACTTTTTATTTGTGATAATATTTTTACATTGTGCTTTTTGTGTTAATCTCATTAAAAAAAGATTATGAAAAATAGGAGTTTGATTTAAATCATGATTTTAAATTTAAAAAATCCAGTAGTGATATAGTTTGGCTAACAGTTGTGTGTATGTGTGTGGAATGAAATTGTATTTGTATTTTATGATAATAATTGCTATATAATAATAATAACAAAAAGTGCTTTTTACTAAACTTCTGGATTGCTCTTGCGACGGTTTTTGCTGAGTCGAACTTGCTGACGTTTCGTCAATTATCCTGTTCGCTTTTTCAGAGCTTGACTGAAACTGGCTCGCATTTTACTCCGTGTACCTGTTTATATATTGTTTGAGGGGAGCGGAGCTAAATGAGGGGCGTAAACACCGTCTCGGATGACATATTCCCATGTTGCTGATAGATAAAGACCTGAGTCGCGGTTAAGATTGTTAGGTTGTTTATAGTTTTCTATAAACTCTCGGATTTTTCGTTGGTAGAAGAACTGATTACATGCAAGAATTTTATTTCTATCGAATAAAATTTTTGATGTCCGTTTTCGTGATTGATTGATGATTTTATCTTTTTGGACAAGTGGTAAATCTGGTTTTGAGGTTATATTTCTTTTGAACTTTTGATATTTGGTCAGTGATGTTTTGAATGTAAGAAAGGATCACAGTGACAAGTGTAGGATTTCTTTCGGTCTCATTGCTATTGGAAGATTGTGGTGAAGTATATTTTTTGATGGTGTTTTAATTCTGGGTTCAGTGACTCGGACTGGGATAGTTTTATGGCTCTGTAAACAAGAGAGTTGATAACTGTTGATTTTTGGGCCGGATGATGATGTGACCATGCATTAAGATATTGGTCTGTGTGCGTAGGTTTTCTGTAAATACATTTCAGTTTCAGTCAAGCGCTGAAGAAGCCAACAGGATGATTGACGAAACGTCATCAGGTTCGACTCGGCAAAAACCGACGCAGGAGGAATCCAGAAGTTTTGTAAAAAGTATTACAGTGGCCTGTGGAAGTTTCTTTGAAAAAATAAATAAATAAAAAGTGGTTTGAGTATTCCTTGGGTCACTCTGTAGTCAGTTTGCATACCTAATGAAATAGACTTTAACCTTAAATCTAG